ATTCTCTGTATTTCCTGAATTTGAATGTTGGCCTGCCTTACTAGGTTGGGGAAGTTCTCCTGGATGACAACCTGCAGAGTGTTTTCCAACTTGGTTCCATTTTCCCCGTCACTTTCAGGCACACCAATCAGACGTAGATATGGTCTTTTCACATAATCCCATATTTCTTGGAGACTTTGTTCATTTCTTTTTTATGCTTTTTTCTCTACATTTCTCTTCTCGTCTCGCTTCATTTCATTCATTTGATCTTCAATCACTGATACTCTTTCTTCCAGTTGATTGAGTCAGTTACTGAAGTTTGTGCATTTGTCATGTAGTTCTTGTGTTATGGTTTTCATCTCTATCAGTTCTTTTAAGGTGTTTTCTGCATTGATTATTCTAGTTATCGATTCATCCATTCTTTTTTCAAGGTTTTTCGTTTCTTTGCACTGGTTACGTAGTTCCTCCTTTAGCTCTGAGGAGTTTGATCGACCGAAGCCGCCTTCTCTCAACTCGTCAAAGTCATTCTCCGTCCAGCTTTGTTCTGTTGCTGGTGATGAGTTGCATTCCTTCGGAGGGGGAGATGTGCTGTGATTTTTTGAATTTCCAGCTTTTCTGCACTGCTTTTTCCCCATCTTTGTGGTTTTCTCTGCCTTTGGTCTTTGATGATGGGGATGTACTGATGGGGTTTTGGTATGGGTGTCCTTTCTGTTTGTTAGTTTTCCTTCTAACAGTCAGGACCCTCAGCTGTAGGTCTGTTGGAGGTTGCTTGAGGTCCACTCCAGACCCTGTTTGCCTGGGTATCAGCAGCAGAGGCTGCAGAAGATAGAATATTGCTGAACAGCAAGTGTTGCTGTCTGATTCTTGCTCTGGAAGCTTCGTCTCAGGGGTGTACCCCGCCGTGTGAGGTGTGAGGTGTTGGTCTGCACCTAGTGGGGGATGTCTCCCAGTTAGGCTATTCAGGGGTCAAGGACCCACTTGAGCAGGCAGTCTGTCCGTTCTCAGATTTCAACCTCTGTGCTAGGAGATCCAATGCTCTCTTCAAAGCTGTCAGACAGGGGCATTTACCTCTGCTGAGGTTTCTGCTGCTTTTTGTTTAGCTATACCCTGTCCCTAGAGGAGGAGTCTACAGTGGCAGGCTGGCTTCCTGGAGCTGCGGTGGGCTCCACCCAATTCGAGCTTCCCGGCAGCTTTGTTTACCTACTTAAGCCTCAGCAATGGCGGATGCCCCTCCCCCAGCCTCACTGCCACCTTGCAGTTAGATCTCAGACTGCTGTGCTAGCAATGAGGGAGGCTCCATGGGCATGGGACCCTCTGGGCCAGGTGTGGAATATAATATCCTGGTGTGCCATTTGCTAAGACCCTTGGTAAAGCGCAGTATTAGGGTGGGAGTTACCCAATTTTCCAGGTGTTGTGTGTCTCAATTTCCTTTGGCTAGGAAAAGGAATTCCCTTCCCCCTTGAGCTCCCCAGGTGAGGCAATGCCTTGCCCCGCTTCTGCTCTCGCTGGTCACGCTGCACCTGCAGACCAGCGCCAACTGTCCGACACGCCCCAGTGAGATGAACCGAGTACCTCAGTTGAAAATGCAGAAATCACCCGTCTTCTGTGTCGCTCACGCTGGGAGCTGGAGCCTGGAGCTGTTCCTATTCGGCCATCTTGGGCACACCCTTTTTTTTCTTTTTTTTTTTGAGAGTCTCACTGTGTCACCCAGGCTGGAGTGCAGTGGTGCAATGTTGGCTCACCGCAAGCTCTACCTCCCAGGTTCACGTCATTCTGCCTCAGCCTCCCGAGTAGCTGGGCCTACAGGTGCCCACCACCATGCCCAGCTAATTTTTTGTATCTTTAGTAGAGACAGGGTCTCACTGTGTTAGCCAGGATGGTCTCAATAGTCCGTATATTTAATAGGCTGCCCCAGGTGATTCTGATATAGCTGGTGCAACATGCTTTGCTGGGTGGTGCAACAGACTTTGAGAAAAGTTGCACAGGGTAATGTCAGAGAGAAAGGAGGAAGAGATTTGTGGCTGTTGCTATTTGTTAGAAGCTGACTTCTGATTGTCTGCAATAGACCCTGCAAAGCTCTGGGTAGGGATAGGGGCCACAGGAGCAGCATGAAGCACAAGCTGTAGCATCTACTACCCCTGGGTTGGGGATGACACAGAATGATGCTCATATGAAGAAATGGTGAAGTCAACTCTCATTGGGTGGGGTGGAATTCCATAGAAGGAGACAGTACAGAGAGCATATCCCCAATCTAACTTGGGCATGTGGATTCCCAATGAGCCGAGCCGTCATTTTAATTTAATGAGCAAATGAAAACAGTGGGCAAAAGAAAAAAATAAATGTTTCCAGGACTCGGGATGGGTGGGAAAGAAATGACTGGAAAGGGGAGACTCAAAAATCAGGGAAACAGATGAAGTGAGGGGTAGGAAAGAAAAAGAGAGCAAGAGGAAGATTCTTTTTGAAAGGCCACTTTATTGATGGAGATAAAACTTAATGGAGCTCCCCACAGCCCTCCCCTCACTTATGTTAGTGGCTTCACTGGGCATCTGAGACCAGCGTGGCCTGTTACCCACATAGACTGGGCTGCTTAGCCCGCCCAGCCTATCACACCGCCCGCTCCATGTTGGGCAGCCACATAAAAACACGTCACAGCTCAAGAAGATCCATGGATGCACCTCTGAATCCCTCCCCCCAACAATGGATTCTGTGCATTTTTTTAATATTGTACAAAATATGTTAACTAGGAAAAGTTAGCTGTACTGTGACAAGTGCGGGACGTCCTATTAGGATTACCGTCCCCCGGGCATTACTTTTTATTGCAGTAAGACCTCTAAAAGGTGGAGCTGTACAAACTGAAAAAAATCTAAACGATTTTAAGAAGAGCAGCAACTCAATACTGCTTTAGTTCATTTAAATTTTCTTTCCCAAAAATACACTCCTAAATATACAAACTATACAATCTTATTATTTTAATGCTGGTTTTTTTTTTTTGTTTCTGTTTTTGTGTGTGTGTGTGTGTTTTGTTTTTGTTCTGTTTTTAATAACAACAGTAGGACCCAAACTAAAAAATCAGTTCATCTTCAAACCAACAAGAGCACTAGAGGACTTGTGACTCAGTACCTTCATATAACACCACATAAATAACTTTAGCCACAGTCAATGTTCACAGCCTGGTCAGTGGAACAAAAGGAATACTTTTCTGGCGATTAGACGTCATCTGCAGAGAGAGCTGGGATATTCATCCGAGGCCGGGTGAAAAATGCCATCTTCTCCCTATAAGAGAGATCATCCCTTTAGAGTAGGAGCAGGGGTTTTCAACCTTACTCTGTTGAGATTCTGGGCAGGATAATTCTTTGTCTTGGGGGCTGTCCTATACATTCACTGTAGAATGTTTAGCAACGTTCTTGGCCTCTACCCTCTAGACGCTGGCCGTATCCTTGACCTCCAGTTACGACAACCCAAAATGCATGCTCATTGCCAAATGTTCCAGGGGCAAGAGGAGAAATCACGCCTGGTTGAGAACCACTGCTTTAAAGACCATTAGCATGAACAATGACCCTTAGTTCAAATCAAATCAGAGGCTTCTCAGAGTTTAAAAGGATCCTTGGGCCACTTCCAATGTTTGTTTGTTTCAGATTCTCAATTTGTTAAAAAGTTAAGAGATGCCCAAAGACAGTTGTACAAATGTACATTTTAAAAGTTTATATTCCACAAAGGAATTTTTTTTTAGCACATACACAAACATGTGTACCTTATCTGAGAGGACATCAGAAGTCTAAATGCTAGGGCCTCTGTGGATGGGAGGCCCAGGCCAAATGGCATTCGGGACCCTCCGAGAATACACCCGGGTCCAGCATGGCAAGAAAGCACCTCCCTGGGATCCTAGCAGGTGGCAGGCAGAGCCAGGGAGGCCCAGCAAGCATCCATTACCCACAGGCTTATTTATCATTCAGCCAACCCTCCACAATTACCAGTGATGAAAACACTATGAGGAAAGGCTGGAGCAGGTGGCTCATTCATTAAACAAGAGGATCTAACAAATTAGCTCGAGTTGTGTGGGGACTGATAAAGACAGCCGGGGGAAGAGTGCTGCAGAGCTCATGGATCGCCAGGGATGGCTTGGCGGAGGATGAACATCTGTTACAGAGAAAGCCAGTGCTCTGTGAGCAAGGGATGGGAGCAGTAAGACCACAGACAGAAGACTAAGGCCGTGGGTTGGCTGAGAAAGGGAGAGGGGGCTGTCGGGGCCCTCTGCTTACCTGAAAGACTGCACTTCTGGGGGCTCCTTACAGCTCTGGCCTCGGAGCCTGTGCACATCCTTGGCAGCTGCCCTCATCATCTTGTCTGTCTGAAGCTCACCCTTGTGCTCTGCTTGGTCCATCTGCTGGGCAAAGCAAGCAGGGCCCTGAGTCAGTGGAGGGGGCCTCCAGAAAGGGGCAAGGAGAACTCCCTATCACAATAGAGGGGGCTCCTGCAGGGATGGCACCCTCACTCCTGCTCCCCGTGGGATCCACTTCTTTCAGAACCATAATGGGAAGTGCTCAAATCATCTGTTTGAGTGAGTAGACTTTTGGGGCCAGGAAACAGAATACCTGTGTGGATCTGAGGAATTGAGGAGATGAGGGCTGCCTGGTGAAATGTGCACTACCTCTAATCCTCAGGCCACCCAGGAAGGTAGATGTTATTACCTCTATTTTACCCAGGCAACTGAGGCTCCAGCATAGTAAGAAATTTCTTTAATGTCAGACTACTAAGAAGTGGTGGAAACCCAGTCCCAAGCCATGCAGTAGTTCTTAAGAGGCTTGGGTATAACACTATGTCCCTTCCTCCTAATGTAACTGTATGCAAACACTTTTAAGAACAAACCACAGACAGCCCTAAAATATCCATGTACCATATATTTGAAAACATTGCACAAAGACAGAATTTTGGTAAATAAAGCCATCATTTCAATGGTTCTTTGTTAGAAGTCATAGATGTTACTTTTTTTTTTTTTACTATTTGAAAGGTCAAGTTTTCTCAGTTTGTTTTTCTTAAGTCAGGGCACGTATTACTTCTCAGTCTTTTGACTAAGATCAAGTGTTAAGGTAGGGCACATAGGCATTTGTTTTCTGATCTCTTTTTGCCTTGGCTACCAGGAAGCTCAAAGATCAATATAATAACTAACTATTATTAGGTTACTTTAGGTTTGGGATATATTTATTTCCTCTCCTCCTTCAAGCCTTCCAATTTTCTATTTTCCCCTCAATGCTCTTGTTATAATCCTGTTTATAAGTAAACAGGGTATAAATAAGAAAGAAAGAAACTTTCTGGAACTTCAGAGCTGCCAGAGTCAGTCTGAAGCTCCCACATCAGTCCAGGCCTAAGAAGTCCAGCATCATCTTCCTGCCGTAGGGCATCACCACCTGCCCTGAGCACTGAGATTTCAGCTGATGGTCCTGACAGTTCAGGTAGGCACCCTCTGTAAGGTACTCTCAGCGAGTCTGGCTGTGTGCAGAGAGAACTAGCAAAGGTCTTTCTTGCCGTGGGTGGTGATCACAGAGTGGCAGGTGTTATTTTTCATAAAGGAGTAGAGAATGGCCCTTGGATATTGGCCCTATATTGTTTGTTTCTTCATGGCAGTCTGGGACCTGTTGGGACCTTAAAAGCCTGCTGGGTGCCACACTCAAATTTTTACCCTTCCAGTTGTTTTAAATATAGCTCAAATAAGCAACTTTTAAATATACAACCTTCCAGTTTGGCATACCCTGTGAAATTGTACCCAACACTTGCTAGCCATAGATAAAGCCTGGGCCTGTAAGAGACCCCGAGCTGCTGCTGTGCTTTGGAGTTCCCTGACCCAGAGACTCCCCATCGTGCTGCAGAGCTACCTAACCTAGATGGCCCCTCCTCCCCAGCTCTCCCCTGGGAGTTCCCTTGCCTTCCTCCACACCGGGCAGTAGCCCCCAGCACCTTTGGAAGGTCTCATGCTGTGAGGGGCTTCCCTGGCATGCAAACCTGTCAAAGTGTAGCGCAAGCCAGGCACGCCGGCTCACGCCTGTAATCCCAGCACTTTGGGAGGCCGAGGTGGGTTGATTGAGCCCAGGAGTTCGAGACCAGCCTGGACAACATGGTGAAACCCCATCTCTACAGAAAATACAAAAATTAGCTGGGCATATTGGTATGCACCTGTCATCCCAGTTACTCAGGAGGCTAAGGTGGGAGGATCGATAGAGCCTGGGAGATAGAGGTTGCAGTGAGCCATCATGCCACCACCCTCCAGCCTGGGCGACAGAGAGAAAACATGTCTTCCAAAAAAAAAAAAAAAAAAAAAAGCACAGCTAATATAAAACTTGTGTGCTAACACCATTTTGAGGTTATATTTTTCTCCTTGATCAACCCCTAAATCCCTTAAACTTATTATAGCAGGGCAGAGGTGCCAGTAGACTTGTACTCCAGGGCACCCTTGTTAGCAGAAGGCCCTGGTGTGACCAGCCCTGCTCCTCCTTTGGCAAGGGCTGCCCTGTGGGATTTCCTGGGCAGGCACCGAGGCAGGTCAGTGTCCTATTGTTACTCTGTTAAAGTGTGTGCTGTGGCACAGATTGGGTCCCCAGTGTATTTCATGAAGAGCTGCATGATGAGTACATGTGTGAACAGTAAGGACTTGCATACAAAAACACATCAACAAATGCAGTAAATGGGCCTTGCAGCCAGGTGAAAGGTTCATAACGTCGAGTAGGCAAAGGGATTCCTGGATCCCTCTGCTGATGGGAACGAGTGATGGGTGGAACACCCTCAGTGGAAGCTGTGGTGGGAATTGTAGGATGCATCACGAGCTCTGGCCTCTCTTCCCTGGGGCAGTGGCCCCTGACTCTTTGGGGCAGAGCGCAGGGCTCCCCTGCCTTCGAGGCTGCACTTACCCGCTTCTCCAGCATCCTCAGCAGCAGGCGGAAACGCTCGTCCTCACGCAACCACTGCGGCAGCTCCTTCTCCCCGTGGCTCTTAGCTTGTTCCAGCTGCTCCTTGAGCTCCTTCAGCACCGAGATCTCCTGGGTCAGTTGGCTATGCCAGGTTCTTGTCGCCTGCAGGTCTAACTCCAGGTCCAGCGAGGTGCGGATCAGACGCTCGGAGCGCAGGGACTTGACCGAGGAAGGCTGTGGGGGTGGGGATGGCTTCTCTTGTTATTAGAGCTCTGCCCAGTGAGCCCACCCAGCCCCTTCCTCTGACCCTCAAATACCCTCTCTTTCTTTACCTGTAGGCATCCACTCCTTTCGAATGGGGCTTCCCCTTCCCTGGGAAGCCTGTTGTGAATTCCCCCATTCAGCTCATGTTTACTGGGCATTTATTATGTCCCAGGAATGGTACTAAGCACTTCATTTCCATAACCTCGTTTCATTTTCACAAACCTAGGAGGTCCTGAGGGTTATCATCTGCACCGAGGAGGCTTGTAGAGGTTAAGTCCCACAGGGTGGGCATGAGTGGTAAAGTTGAAGTTCCACCTCAGGGACCTGGCTGCAGTCCCCACCCGCCCTCTCTGTACACTGTGCCAGCTTCAATACTCTCAGCACCCTCCATATGTACGTTCTCAGTTATTGATTCCTGTCACTGTACTGTTCTGAAGTTCTTTCCCCAATACAGGTCTGTTCCCGCTTAAGGGCAGAAGTCATGTCTTCTTGATTTTGTGTTCCTGTAATGGGCCCCTATTGTTTCTGCTTGTCCAGCATTTGTTTCCCCAGCCTTAGAGTAACAATGCCCTCACCTTCCCTTGGAGATCTCCTCCTCTGCACTCAATCCACCTGCTTTGTGTGGGGCATCAGGGATAGGAATGTGACCTGAACCTGGCCAATCTGAATCTCAGTGACAGGTTCAGAGGTGAGTATGTTATCAAAGCCCAACCATTAATACTCCATTCTGGCACTTTGCTGAACTGCTTGGAAAAGAGGCAATGTCTTTACACTGATGTTGCTAAGCCTTCAAGATATAAACCTGGGACTCATCATGATCATCTTTACTTGTGGGGTGACCTGTTTGAGAATTAAGCTGTACAGAGGGAGCAACGCCATGAGAAGGGGGTTGAGGCCTGATGACATCATTTCCAACTTTGGATCAAGTCATGCCTGAAGGTAGTTCAACATCCTGGATTTCTTCATTCAATTAGACAACAATTCCCTCTTTCATTTTTAAGCTGTATTTGAGTTAGTTTCTTCAGTTATCTATACGTAAAAGACCCTGATTAATTCGACCATTAACTCTCCTCCCATCACAAATCACTAATGATTAAAAAACAGTAATTCATGACTATGGGAGTCAGAATTCTAAAATGGTTTCTCAAATCCCATTCCTAATATACATGCCCCGTATAATCTCCTCTCCTTCAATTCCAGTGCGACCTGTGAATATGAACTATCACTCCCACTGATCAGTTGACTTTGAGTTAATCAAAAGGAAGATTATTCCAGGTGGTCCCGACTTAATCAGGTAAGCCCCTAAAAGACGGCCTGGCTTTTCCTGGCCGGGCTCTTCTGCTGGCCCTGAAGAAGTAAATAAAGCATGTTGTAGAGACGGCCACAGGGCAAAAACCTGAGGGTGACCTCTAGGAGCTGAAAATGCTCCCCCAACCCCCCAGCCGACAGCTAGCAAGAAACTACAAGGCAATAAATTCTGCCAACAACTGGAGGCAGTGCCTGGATGCAGCTGTTTCCTTAGTCAAGCCTCCAGATGAGGATGTGGCCATTTAACACTTAGAGGTTTCAGCCTGCTAAAACCCCGGGTAGAGGGCTCAGCTAACCTGCGCTTGAACTCCTGACCTGCGGAAACTGTGAGGTAAGGCATTTGTATTATTTTAGGCTGCTAAAGTTTGTGGTGATTTGTTATGTAGCAATAGAAAACAAATACAATGACCAATAAGGAGATCTCAGACACAGCATAAGAAGCATTACCATGGCCGGGCGCGGTGGCTCAAGCCTGTAATCCCAGCACTTTGGGAGGCCGAGGCGGGTGGATCACGAGGTCAGGAGATCGAGACCATCCTGGCTAACATGGTGAAACCCCGTCTCTACTAAAAATACAAAAAACTAGCCGGGCGAGGTGGCGGGCGCCTGTAGTCCCAACTACTTGGGAGGCTGAGGCAGGAGAATGGCGTAAACCCAGGAGGCGGAGCTTGCAGTGAGCTGAGATCCGGCCACTGCACTCCAGCCTGGGCGACAGAGCGAGACTCCATCTCAAAAAAAAAAAAAAAAGACCTAGTCTCATTTTGCAAGGCTGGCAAGCATACTATTAGGAACATAAGACAGCTCTAGGAAGAATTTCTAGAACACTCTTCTAGGTTGAACGTGGTCTGCTCTGTGCTTAAAAATGAGCAGGATCAAGGAAATTCAGCTGAGTGATCTACATGGCTCAAGTACTCAGAGCAACAAATAAAGATTCTTTTGCTTCGTCTGACCCATGTCCAGTCTCAGAAGCTGGGCAGGCTGCAGTAGAGAGAACACAGCTCAGGCAGTGCGTGGAAGCAAGGAGCAGTGCCTAAGGGCCCAGGCTCAGCCTCTGGACTCTCCCGACCCGAGGGAAATGTGGGCTCAGACCCACCATCAGGGGCTCCCTTAGTAAGTCATCCTCTTGGGTAAGGGGAACAGGGGGTGATGAAGGGGGCCTGCTTCTGGGGGGCCTGCCTTAGAAGGGAGCTGTGGGAAATGCAGGGGGAGCAAGTAGGAGATCAGTGGCATTTCTGCAGAGGTGTATCATGAATATCTGCTCCAGAAGCTCCTAAGGAGCTTTGTTAAAATGCGGTTTTCAGGGCCCATGCCAGCTGCCTGAATTAAATGGTCAGAAGTGTGGCCTTGCAATCTGCATTGTCACCAAGCTCCCCAGGTAACTTTTGGTGCTCCAGAGACTGCAGTACAAGCCAGCTACAGAAGAGGGGGTTGGGGTGGGGGACCCAGAGTGGGCAGTTGGTTGTCTCTGTCACCTGAGGCCACGTCCACTTTCTCCCACACCCACCCACTCTCCCTTCCCTGTGTAGTCTCTCCTGCGTTGCTGTCTCTCTCTCGCTCTCTCCAGCTCCCCCTCAGACTTGTTAGGGTGTAGGATGTCAGGCAAAGGACCAGATTCTGGCTGTCAGCAAGCAGTGCAGGAGAAGGGGGGTGCCTGCCCCTACTGGGGGCTGTTGGCACTATCTTTTCCCTCCATGCTCTCTTTTGCTTTGCTTTCTTTCTTTTTTTCTTTCTGACATTCTGGCTCCTGGTTTCTTCCAGTTCTGCAAACTCATTAGACAGAACTGCTTTAAACTTGTGTTGAAAGCCCAAAGTGGGGAGGGCCCCCTGCATCTGCTGCAGTCCTTAGTGGTCAAACACAAATCAGGGGTCGCTCCTTTGCCTACCCCCACCCCATCCGGATCGCTCAACTCAGTCTCCACTAGGAAAGGCCAGGAGGCTTCTGCAGGGCAAATCTGCAACCTTTTCCCTGTGGGCCTCCCTGCTTCAGGCTGGTGCTCAGAGGCACCCAGCTTCTCTGCCAGCAGGAGGGTCATGGGGCCTGGATGACAGACACACTGAGCAGAGTCTTGTATGAGGAAGGCTCCTGTCAGATGATGCTCTCTGACTGATGACTGTGACATGTTGGCTTGGTTAGTTCTTTTTTTGTTTTTTGAGACGGAGTCTCACTCTGTTGTCCAGGCTGGATGGAGTGCAGTGGTACAATCTCAGCTCACTGCAACTTCCGCCTCCTGAGTTTAAGCGATTCTCCTGCCTCAGCCTCCCAAGTACAGCCTGGGACTACAGGTGCATGCCACCACACCCAGCTAATTTTTGTATTTTTAGTAGAGATGGGGTTTCACCATGTTGGCCAGACTGGTCTTGAACCCCTGACCTTAGGTGATCAATCTTCCCACCTCGGCCTCCCAGACTGTTAGGATTACAGGTGTGAGCCACTGCACCCAGCTGGGTTGTCAGTTCTTACTGACTTTGATTTCTATCTAGGAAGTCAAGGCCAAGTGTACACACTCCTCTTCTAACCTATTTGTCATAATAAGACAAATACATTTACCCTTTGGCACCTTCCCCAGTGGCTACACAGGCCTCATAGTTCACAAACATCTGTTCGCAAATACCAGCATGCTTGCGAGAGCAACATTTTTCAAGCCAGTGGCTGAGGAGAAATGGCCAGCCATCAGGAGACGTGTGCGCAGGACACAGGGCTTGGGGCAATGGGGGAGGAGCAGAAAGATAGCTTCGAGGTGACTCTTACCCGCTTCATCCGGATGCTGCGTCGCTCCAGGGAGTTTCGAACAAAAGGTGGCTTTTTGGACAGAGTGGAGCTGTCACTATCACTCCGATTCAGCTGCAAGAGAAAAGTCACGGAATGTTAAACATGGTCCGAGTGCATTCCGGAAGGTGCACTGAAGCCCAGAGGGAGGTCAGGTTCCTCCGCCCAGCACAGTCCTTCCTCTCCTTCCGCAAACGCCCAGACTTTCCTGTTCCGGGTTTCATTCTGACTTTTCCTTTCTTTATACGTGAACATTCATTGAGCATGTAGTATGCATGACGCACACTGCTTCATCTCCATGCTAGTATCTGCAGGATGCTAAATGCCACGAATATCCCATTGAACCTTTCCAACAACGCCATGTGATAGGAGCAAATCCATTTCACAAATGAGGTGACAGAAGCTTAGGGGTTGCAGAACTGACCCAAGGTTGGCAAGCTGGTCAGTCGCACAGCAGGGCTGGACACTGGGCAGTGTGACTTCAGTGTATACTGCCCTCTTGACCTACTACACAAAGGGCATTTTTGTATCAACTCTTCCCTGGTGTCTACAGAGACTGCCTTTACTGACTTAAATGGAGCCGCTGTCAAGATTGATATTTAAAAAAGAAAAGGGCAGCTTAAAGGCAAAGCCTCAGGGACCATATCCTTAGAGATAATGGGGCAGATCGTAACTTTCCCGTAGGCATCCCCTCAATCACTGAGTTATCTATACTTCCCCCAGACGGCTAGAATTCCCCATCTAAGACCGGAAATCAGGCCTACAGTCAGGATGGGAAGCTTCTGTATTGAGAGTGTGTCCCGCCCCCCGAGGAGCACGAGAGAGTGGGTAGGATGACAGCACCCCTGGGAGGTGGGAGCAGGGTGGGGAGTTCTTTCTGAGTCCTATTTCCAAAGTCGGTGGGGTTGCCAGAGGCCGATGCTATTGTGCTTGTGTGTCTAGCAGCTGTCATTTCACTGCTGCAGGTCTCTTGAGAAGCTGTTTCTGTGGTTATTGATAATTACTTGTGATAATGATATTAATAGTCCTGCTAAGCTGACAAACACAGCAACTCCAGGGACAGACTGATGAAATAGCCACTGGGCTAGGCACGGCCTCAACCAGCACCAGACACTGAATAGTAAAAATAATGACTGCCACATGGAGAGAGCACCTGCTGCATGCCAGGTGCTTTAGTGACAGTTTCATTTAATCCTCAAACAATTCTAACGTGATAGGAACTGAGGCCTACAGAGATTAAGAAGCTTGTAAAGTTGAATAGCTAGGGAGCATCAAAACCAGAGTTCAAGGCCCAGTCTGTTTGGTTCCAAGGCCACCAGCTCGCCTGGCTCCAGCCTGCAGTTAGGGCTCAGAGATGAAACTAACGTGCAGGTGGAAGGATGTGCCATCTTGACAACTGGGGTAGGTTCATGTAAACTGGTTGCATGTGGTACCAGAAGGGGGTTTTTTCTTTTCTTTTCTTTCTTTTTTTTGTTTTTGTTTTGAGACAGGGCCTCACTCCTGTCGCCCAGGCTGGAGTGCAGTGGCACTATCTCGTCTCACTGCAGCCTTGACTTCTCGGGCTCAAGTGATTCTCCCGCCTCAGCCTCTCAAGTAGCTGGGACTAAAGGCACATGCCACTGTGCCTGGATAATTTTTGTATTTTTTGTAGAGACAAGGTTTCACCATGTTGCCCGGGTTGGTTTCAAACTCCTGGGCTCAAGTGATCCTCCCACTTAAGCCTCTCAATATCCTGGGATTACAGGTGTGAACCACTGTGCCCAGCCTTTTATTCTACATTGTTTTAATCCAGTGGTGGCACTTAAAGGATATGTGTCCTACCGACCAGAAATGGGTATCGGGATAATTGATCCTTAAGTTGTAGTTGTTTATGTGTTAAAGACTATATTATATAAAAGAGAGACAGAAGCTACATTAAGTCCTTGAATTTAGCTTTCTCTAATATAAAGATACTTCAATGCATACTGATGCAGAGAGTAGTGAAATCATTTAGAGTCACAGGAAACTAGTTCAGGAATGAGAATTTAGGACAGGCTGTGTCCATTTGGTCAAAGTCGATCAACCCAAAAATGTGGCAGCACTTCAGATGAATACACGGGGGCTGAGGAGAGCTGCAGGAAGGGTAATTCATGGCCCCTGGACTTCAAGTTCAGTAGGGGAACTCAAGACAGTGAAACTAACCAAGTGACATAGGCACAGATGAAGACCAAACAAGGGAGCCACTCAGCAGGGGATGCCTTTTGTGCAGAGGCCAGCATAAGGGGCTACTCACAATCAGACCCAAGGAGGCCAGAGGAAGCCCCTCAGGAGGTGGCTCTGAGCAACAAAGAGGCTGCAGGCTTTGGAGTTGGATTCCCAGCTTTGCACTTAGTAGCTGTGTGACCTAGAGCACAGTGCTTTGAGTTTTTGAGTCTTAATTTCTGTGTCCATAAAATGGTGTTCACACAACTCACCTTGCAGGGCTGTAAGATTAGATGACACAGAAAATACGTTTTTTGGCTGCGGGTGCTCGAAGTGTTGCTGATTAGCATTTGAAATCCCATCCTGTGGGTGGGAAAACCCCACCTTATGACTTGGTGGGAAACAAAGCCCACCCCCCAGTGATGAAGCTGAAAGTAGCAGAACTTTGCTTTTACTGCCTCCCTTGCAGCTAGAGGCAGGCACAGGACTAGCCTCTGTCAGTTGGATGCAAATGCTCCAGGCCTTGAATCACAACCTGGTGACTTGCATCCAAGTCTGTTACAATGCCTCTTGAATTGAAACAGGCGACTCTTTCTCTCCTTCATTCTACAGATGTGCCAGGTGTGTTGTTATCTCAGGGAAAAGCCATTAATGGTAAGTAGTGGCAGTGGCAGCAGTGACCAGAGCTTCCATGCCAGCTGGGACAGGAAACTGGTGGAGGCATAAATATTGAATGCCACGGGCAGCAGTGGGGCCGGCTGGGGCCAGGTTTTGTGGCAGCATTGGTGAAGGTGTCACCCGATTGGCTTTGTGGTATAATTTTGGCTGTGGTCTGGCCTTCCTAGGTCCTGATTTCTGAGGCTGGTTCTATAGCCTTATGATGAGTGTGTGAGCTCCTCAATTTACTTTCCCCCAAATTTTCCTGCATATACTGCTCACTGTCCATTTCCATTGCTTGCAATGAAAAACCCTGACCTGTATAGGCAGGAAGTAGAATGCTATCAGTTACAGACTGAGACACGTGGAGCTGGCTGTGGAGGGGGCAGGGTGGAGGCATAGCATAGCCCCAGCATGTCTCTGTTGGAAATTTGGTAATGCTCATCTTGTGGGTGCAAAACAAAGGGTTAAATAGTTCCCTGCTATACCTCAGCAGACAGTCTCCATGCCTGCAGAGTTTTAGAGGAAATGATAGAAAATCTTCATGATGTTGTACTCTTGGCTACATCTTGTAGCCTTCAGTAAGTTTTATAAAAAGAGACATAAGCTTGAGCTGAAGTGGGCCAGCTAGAAAGCAAAGAAGGAAAAATACATGACTTTGCTAAAAAAAAAAAAAGGCCCTTTCTACCTGTGGCATGTGATCTCCATTGACTGGGAATCTCTTAATTTGTGATCTTGCAGGGTTAGAAATGGTACAAATAATAAAATATGGGAAGTGGAAGCATAGTGCTTGGTGTGTTACAGATGCTTATTTAACTAGGACAGGTGCTTTTTGTTATTTGAAGATGCCAATCCTAGAAAAGGGTCACTTAAAAGTAAATCCATTTAAACAGGGAACCAGAATTTTACAGAAAACACTGGGGAAAAATGCTTGAGGTTGAGTCTATAGGTGGAAAAGATAAACATTTCACCAAAGTTATTCTATTTTATATTTCCCATTTAACAAAATTACAACCACATTCTAATCCTGATGAAAAAGAACGAGTGAGGCCGGGCGCGGTGGCTCAAGCCTGTAATCCCAGCACTTTGGGAGGCCGAGACGGGCGGATCACGAGGTCAGGAGATCGAGACCATCCTGGCTGACACGGTGAAACCCCGTCTCTACTAAAAAATATGAAAACTTAGCCGGGCGAGGTGGCAGGCGCCTGTAGTCCCAGCTACTCGGGAGGCTGAGGCAGGAGAATGGCGTGAACCCGGGAGGTGGAGCTTGCAGTGAGCTGAGATCCGGCCACTGCACTCCAGCCTGGGCGACAGAGCGAGACTCCATCTCAAAAAAAAAAAAAAAAGAAAAAAAAAAAAGAAAAAGAACGAGTGAAACACTAATATTTTTTGGTGAGATTTTTCTAATGAGTGACATTCTTCTCTGTGTTTGATTTCTACTGCACGTTCATAATGGCAGTAATTTCCACTCCCCACCCCCCCCCAAAAAAAATGCAGAGGGTTATCCATTGTCTTAAGGGCTTTTCTAAATCATTCAAATTATTCATGTTTTCTTTTTGAGACAGAGTTTCACTCTTGTTGCCCAGGCTGGAGTACGATGGCCCGATCTTGGCTTACTGCAACCTCCGCCTCCCTCGTTCGAGTGATTCTCCTGCCTCAGTCTCCCAACTAGCTGGGATTACAGGCACGCGATGAGCCACCATACCTGGCTAATTTTGTATTTTTAGTAGAGAAGCACCGATTGGATTTTTCTCTCCTGCAGTTGTGAGCCAGCTTAATTGCAGCATCTTCTACCTATGATTTAGGAAGCCCAACATCACATTCAGTGACTTCAGGAAATCCTGCACCTTGTGCAAGATATGAAGCCAACATGCATTGTTACCTGCATTATCTTTTCAGCTGCTTACAAGTTCAAACAATAAGCTAGGGCTCTACCACAGAAGGGAGAGGTTTATGTTGCTCCTAGAAGGGACCGCAGGGAATGTTTTCATGAAGACTCATTTGACAAGCAGCCAGTCAATCAGTAAAATTTTCACATTATAAAGAAATGAGCTTCTCTAATCAATCTTATATACTTGTAGGCCTTGAACACTGAATACTCAGATAATGAGACCCCTCCCTTCCTCTCCCCTTCCCTCCATAACAATAGTCACGTAAATGGCAGGCAGAGAACCAAGTGTGGACTCCACAGGCCTCCCCTTCTGTGACAACTTTTTGGGACATTAGGCAGGAAGGTTCTGTTGAGGGCCTAGTTATTATTCAGTGGTTCTATATGGTGGGGGAAGGAAGGATATTGATATCACTGGAACCCAGGATTCAGGTAAGGTAGGCACATGTCTTATCTGTGCTGCCCCATGGAAGGTTAGGAGCAAGGGCTGGTTCTGTAGCTCCAGCAAAAGCATGACCCCTCAGACTCAGTAAACACTGAGACCCCCCCATGCAGGGTAGAATGAAGGAAGGTGGGCTGGCCTAGGAAGGGGAAGGGGTAGGGGAACTGGAAAGCAAGGAAAATGAGGGTATGAAGGAACAAAGACCACTGCAGGGCTTGCACATTCCTCTGGGTATACAGGAGCTGGTGGGCAAATGAAACAGGTAACGAGGGCCAGGTAGAGGCCAGAGTGGACTGGAAAGCTCCCCACCTCCATCAACTAAGGACAGTTGCCCCCACCTTGGTGCCAGCCAGTTGCTGCCAATTGTGTGTGGTCTGTGGTGACATAGAGTCTCTTTTTTTCAAGAAGAACTGGAATTTTATGTCAAACTCTTCCTATTTTATTTTATTTATTTTATTTGTTTGAGGCCAAGTTTCACTCTTGTTGCCCAGGCTGGAGTGCAATGGTGTGATCTCGGTTCACTGCAACCTCCGTCTCCCGGGTTCAAGGATTCTCCTGCCTCAGCCTCCCAAGTAGCTGGGATTACAGGCATGCGCCACCATGCCCGGATAATTTTTTGTATTTTTAGTAGAGACAGGGTTTCGACATGTGGGCCAGGCTGTTATTGAACTCCTGGCCTCAAGTGATCTGCCCACCTCAGCCTCCCAAAGTGCTGGGATTACAGGCATGAGCCACTCTGCCCGGCTTTATTTTTAAATGCCCTTTAGGTTAAAAATAATTTTTTTTTAAAGACAGGTCTTACTCTGCTGCCCAGGCTGGAGTGCTGTGGTGCAAACATGGCTCAGGGTAGCACTGGACTCCCGGGCTCAAGCAATTCCTCTGCCTCAGTCTCCCCACTAGCTGGGACTACAAGTGCATGCCACCATGCCCAGCTAATTTTTAATTTCTTAGGTGGAGACAGGGTCTCACTATGTGGACGAGGCTGGTTTTAAACTCCTGGCCTCAAGTGATCCTCCTGCCTCAACCTCCCAAAGTGCTGGGCTTACAGGTGTGAGCCACTGCATCCGGCCACCTTTTTAATAAGTTTTAAATGTTAGCAGCAGGTTCAATTAAAAAAATAAAACAAACTAGAAGCCAAATAATACAGATCTGCTGTAATTTGGCAGCTTCAGGCTGCACCCTAGAATTGCCCTGGAGGTGGGAAAGAAACGCCTGTGTGTCTCAGGGACACTGAGGGGTCCCCCTCTGATCTCAGCAAGTGGTTGCAGGAGGGCAGGGCAGAGTGTGAACAAGGAGGAAGTCAGTTGGTTGGAATTATTATAACATTGACCAAGTACTAACTACCAAGCCTTTTCTATTGCTTGTCTAAAACAATCCTATAAAGTAGGCCCACCTGAGGAAACTGAGGCTCTGAGGTGTTAACATGCCCGAAGTCACCCAATAACATGAGAGTAACGGGCTTTGCACCCAGCCCTGTGTGAGGCTCTCGGCTACTCTGAGGGGAGCAGAAGGGGTCTGCACGCTCACTTACCCGGCAAACGTACTGGCTCTGGGGTCCCGGGGAGAAGGTCTTAGAGCGGATGATGGTGCTCCCGCGAAGAAATGGCCCCGGGGACGGAGTGCCCACCCTCCGGTCCTTGGGTCGCACCACTGTGGGGGATGGGGCCGGGGTCTCCGTGTTGGTCTCTTTGTCCACCTGAGGAAGAAGTCACACCTTGAAGCCACTAGTGTTCACAGAGTCTCAGCCACCTACCAGAGACCACTCAGCTGCTCCTCCTCCCTCCTGTCACCTCACCTTTCCCCACAGACACACCACGGTTTCCTTGGCATTAGCCCTGCTAGATGAGCTCAGCCTGGTGAAGTCAGGACAGTACCCAAGGCTGGGTGTACCGACCCCCACCCCTCTGTGGCACGTGTGGTTGGGGGCTGGTGGGAGCACATTCAGCCTCCAAACAGACTCACATGAGCAGTAGAGGTATCTCAAAGTTTTGAGAGTGTGATGTCCAACGTCCTGGACGTCACACTCTCAAAACCTATAAACCAAGTCCATTTTGAAAAACCACACCCAAGGCTTCCACAGCCCTGGCAAAGTACTACAGTTGCTTTCATTGAATTCTGAAGGCAACCAGCTAGTCTTGTTTTTAAAACCAACCCATCAGGTTTTTTACTGCCCATGCACAGTAGTCATCAGGAAAACATAAACAAACAAAACACCTACATGCAGGACCTTTGTCAGCCTAAACAGTGCCTTTATATAATTTTAAGAAAGGGCACCCCCTCTGGCTGGAGAAATTGCAAAATGATGCCCCCTTGGTGTGGAGGAGTTAGAACTGGGGCCCAGATCCTACTGCACCCGCCGTGGCCAGGCACCTCTGTGCGGTACTCCAGCTGCAGCCTTGCTCAAACACGGCAGGTGCTCTAGCTCCAGGAGTCCTGGAGCCAGCTGTCTGTGGAGAGTGAATCCTGCTGTAACATGTGACCCTAGTGCAGCAGGGGAGCAGGCAGTAAAGGGAGTCTGGCCTTTTTTCCTATCGCATTATGGGCAGAGCCACATGAAGAAACACATTTTCAGAGCCTATCTGCAAGGTTGGTATTATTGTGCCCATTTTAGAGATGAGAAAATGGAGGCTTGAGAGGGATGAAGTCATCTGCCTAAGACTACACAGCCAGGGAGTATCAGAACCAGAATTCGAACCCAAACCCATCTGACTGCAAGGCTTGAATTCTATCCAGAGAAGTCAGGGAAAATGCAGAGGGCAGAAGAAAAGGGATGGGTGAGTTGGCCTCTCCTGGTTTACCATCACCAGAATGACCCAAAGGTGACTCCATTGTGAGGGCTTGTGCCCTGATGCTGGAGGCCAAGACTTAGCTCTGAGTCTTTTCTGACTGCTTCAGCACAAGAATTGAAGGCTCTTTCTCCGCAACAGCCCTTCCATCCCCCCAGCCCTTCCTACCTTTAATGCTGGGTACCCGTCCATATCAGGTGAGGCTTTCTCAGTGAAAACATCCTCTTCTTCCTCCTCCTCTTCCACCTCCTCCTCCTCTTCCTCAGCTACTGCCTCATTCTCACTGGTCTCCTCGTACCTCCTGTGATGACAAAGCACTTTGGTTACCCACCCAGAAGCCACCCTGCCTCTGTTCACCTGCCTTTAAGTACATCCAAGGGAGGGCTTCCAATCCTTTTGATGATTGAGGATACATTAAAAAAAATTTTTTGGGGGCCAGACGCAGTGGCTCATGCCTGTAATCCCAGCACTTTGGGAGGCCGAGGCGGGCGGATTGCTTGAGGTCAGGAGTTCAAGACCAGCCTGGCCAACATGGTGAAACCCCATCTCTACTAAAAATACAAAAATTAGCCAGGCATGGTGGTGTGCATCTGTAGTCCCAGCTACTCAGGAGGCTGAGGCAGGAGAATCGCTTGAACCTGGGAGGTGGAGGTTACAGTGAACCGAGATCGCACCACTGCACTCCAGCCTGGGCAACAAGAGTGAAACTCTGTCTCAAAACAAAAAAAAAATTTTTTAATGAGGCATAATTTGTTTCCAACAAAATGCATTTTCAGTGTACAGTTTGATGAGTTTTGGCGAATGTATTCACCTATGTAACCACCACTGCACTTGAGATGTAGAACATTCCATTCCTCACCAGAATTCCCTCCTACCTTTTCCCAGTTTAATCTCCCGCTAGGCAGCCACCGATTAGCTGTTGTTATAGATTGTTTGACTTTTCTAGAGTTTCATGTAAATAGAATCAGACAATATATGCTGTTTTGTCTCTGACTTCTCTGTGTCTGCATAACGTTTCTGAAGTTTATCCATGATGCTGTATGCATCAGCGGTTCATTCCTCCCTTTTTTTTTTTCTTTTGAATCAGAGTCTCACTCTGTCACCCAGGCTGGAGTGCAGTGGGACCATCTTGGCTCACTGTAGCCTCCACCAGTGGGCTCAAGTGATCCTCCTGCCTCAGCCTCCTGAGTTGTTGGGACTACAGGTGTGTGCCACCACACCTGGCTAATTTTCCTGTTTTCTGTAGAGACAGAGTTTCGGTATGTTGCCCAGGTTAGTCTCAAACTTTTGGACTCCAGCAATCTACCCACCTTGGCCTCCCAAAGTGTTGGGATTATAGGCGTGAGCCACCATGCCCACAGTTCACTCCTTTTTATCATTAATATTCCATTGGATGGATATATTGCAACGTATTTAGATCTGTTCATCTGCCTTTAAATGCACCCAGGGTAGGGGTTCCAAACCTTGGAATGAGGCGGGTCATTGAGGAAAAGGAGGAGGAAGAGGAGGAGGAGGAGGAGGAGGAGGAAGGAGAAAAAGAGAGTTCAGCTGATGAACATTTGGATTACTTACATTTCCAAGCAAGTATAAATAAAGCTTCTTGTACATTCATGTATAAGTCTATGCATGAATATAGGTTTTCATTTCTGTTGGATATTGCTAGGGTTGCCAAAATAAAACACCACATACTAGGTGGCTTAAACAACAGAAATTGATTTCTGGCAGCTCTGGAGGCTGGAAATCCACACTTGAGGTGTCAGCAGGTTTGATTCACCTGAGGCCCCTCTCCCTGGCTAGCAGATAGCTGCCTTCTCACAGTGTGCTCACATGGTCTGTCCTCTGTGCATGCGCATCCCTGGTGTCTGTGTGTCCAAATATACTCATATGAGGTCCCATCCCAACTTTAATGGCCTCATGTTAACTTAACTACCTCTTTAAAAGCCCTACCTCCAAATACAGTCACATTCTGAGGTACTGGGGGTTAGGGCTTCAATGTATGAATTTTGGGGGGATACAAATCAGCCCCTAACAGATAACAGAATTACTGGGTCATACAGTAAGTGTAAATGTACCCTTTTAAGACACCAACAGACTGGCTGTGGTGGCTCACACCTGTAATCCCAGCACTTTGGGAGGCCAAGGCAGGAGTTCAAGGCCATCCTGGCCAACGTGGTAAAACCTCGTCTCTACTAAAAATCCAAAAATCAGCTGGGCGTGGTGGTGGGCACCTGTAATCCCAGGTACTCAGGAGGCTGAGGCAAGAGAATTGCTTGAACCCAGGAGGCGGAGGTTGCAGTGAGCTGAGATAGCACCATGGCACTCCAGCCTGGGTGACAGAGTGAGATTCTGTCTAAACAACAACAACAACAACAACAACAACAAACACGGACAAATGGCTGCTCCAAAGTGATTTTGCCATTTTATGTTTCCCCTGAGCAATGTTCTAAGAGTTCTAGTTCCTCACTACACTTGGTGTCATTCGTCTTTATAGTTAGTCACTCTACTGGGTGTGTACTTGCATCTTGTTGGGTTTTAATGTGCATTTTCTTCTTTTTTCTTTGTTTTTAGAGACAAGGTCTTGCTCTGTCGCCAAGGCTGAGGCTGGAGTGCCATGGTATGATCAAAGCTCACTGTCGCCCCGAACTCATGGGCTCAGGTGGTTGATTCTCCCACCTCAGCCTCCCAAGTAGCTAGTACTACAGGCACGTGCCACCATACCTGGCTAATTTTGTAAATCTTTTGCAGAGATGAGGTTTTATTTTGTTTCCCAGGCTGATCTTGAACTCCTGGCCTCAAGAAATCTTCCTGCCTCAGTTTCCCAAAGTGTGAGCATTACAGGTGTAAGCCACTGAGCCTGGCCTAATTTGCATTTTCTTGTTGAGAAACTCTTCATGCATTTATGACCATCTTCTTTGGTGAAGTGTCTGTTAGAATCTCCAGCCCCTTAAAAATCGGGTTGTTGGCCAGGCACAGTGACTCACGCCTATAATCCCAACACTTTGGGACGCTGAGGTGGGTGGATCACCTGAGGTCAGGTGTTCGAGACCAGCCTGACCAATATGATAAACCCCGCCTCTACTAAAAATATAAAAATTAGCCGGGCGTGGTGGCATGCACCTGTAATCCCAGCTACTCAGGAGGCTGAGACAGGAGAATCGCTTGAATCCGGGAGGTGGAGATTGCAGTGAGCCGAGATCGCAGCCTGGGCAACAAGAGCAAAACTCTGTCTTAAAATAAACAAATAAATAAATAAAAATAAAAATTGGGTTGTCTTATTATTGAGTTGAAAGAAATCTTAATATATTCGAGCTATGAATCCTTTGTCAGGTATGTGGACTGCATGATTTTCTCTAAGTCTGTGGCTTGCCTTTTCATTTTCTAAGTGGTGTCTTCCAAAGATCATAAGTTTTTGATTATGATAAAGCCCAATTTACAGATTTTTTTCATTTACAGTTTGTGCTTTTTATGTCCTAAGAAATCTTTTCCTACCTCAAAGTTTTGAACAGTTTCTTTCTTACACTTTCAGTACTTCTATAATTTCAGGTTTTTTTGTGTAGCTCAATAACCCATTTGAGATTATTATTATTATTTTTTTTGAGATGGAGTCTTGCTCTGTCACCCAGGCTGAAGTGCAGTGGTGCGATCTTGGTTCTGTCTCCCTGGTTCACGTCATTTTCCTGCCTCAGCCTCCTGAGTAGCTGGGACTACAGGCATGTGCCGTCACACCAAGCTGATTTTTGTATTTTTAGTAGAGGTGGGGTTTCACCACGATGACCAGGATGGTCTTGATCTCCTGACCTCGTGATCTGCCCACCTTGGTCTCCCAAAGTGCTTGGATTACAGGCTTGAGTCACTGTGCCCAGCCACAGATTAATTTTTATACATGATATAAGTATCCAAGTTTATTTTTTTCCATATGAATATCTAATTGTTCCAACACCATTTGCTGAAGAGACTTTTGGTGATAGTCCTTAAAACTCTCCATTTCCCTTGGACTCTAAGGTTGGAAGGATTTGGTGTGACAAATAGGCTGCATTTGTTAAGTAGTAATTTATCTCTATTCCCATCTTGACTTCTGAAAGACATACAGAACTGCCCGGCTTCTGATCAGCATGAGACAGTGTTATCATACTGAGCCAAAAGAATCCCAGCCAAAAGCAGAGAATCCAACATCCAGCTAGCTGGCTCGGCGAGCGTGTGGGGAAACACAAACTCTCCCTGAGGATTTTCCCAATGGGGAGAATGCATTTTGGATCTCTACTCACAACTCTGCAATTCAAACCTCTTCTGTACTTAGATGAGGACTGCTCTGTGGAGGGGCCTTGGCTCTCCTCCTTGGCCCCAGCAGCCTCTCTATCTACAAATAAAAGAGCTGTTGGTCAGGCGCGGTGGCTCATGCCTGTAATCCCAGCACTTTGGGAGGCTGAGGCGGGTGGATCACCTGAGGTCGGGAGTTCGAGATCAGCCTGACCAACATGGAGAAACCCCATCTCTACTAAAAATACAAACTTAGCTGGGCGTGGTGGCGCATGCCTGTAATCCCAGCCACTTGGGAGGCTGAGACAAAAACAAACAAATAAACAAACAAACAAAAAACCCAACTTAATTTTAATTGTAAGGAGAAAAATAATTAAAATCAACAACAGTATCTTTTCATCCACTGGGGTGGTAAAGCGGAAAAAAAATCTGATAATATCAAGTGCTGGTGAAGGTACAAAAACAGGCATATCGCTGTGGGAAGTGTAAAGGAGAGCAGTCAATTTACATTCTGAAGGCAATTTAGCCTTATCTGTTAAAACAAAAAATGTACATATCCTTAATTAAGTTACAGCAGTTTGATTACATTGAGTGTCAGAGAGGCTGTAGATTAGGGTACTCAATCACTGCTAGTGGGAGCATTTATTAATAAAATCTTATTTGAGAACTACTCTTGAATGTCTATTAAAATATAAAAAACACACGCCCTGGGATCCAGCAATGCCACTTCTCAGCATCTGCCCTAGACAAATACAAGTTCCCAAGGAGGCAAATACAAAGATTTTTCCCTCTAGTATTGTTTGGTGTTTTATTCTCCTGTATTTTCTAACACTCTTAGTTTTATTTTGCTTGTGGATTAAAAAAAAAAAAAATCCAGTCTTCTGATTATATGATTTAAAGACATAAAAAAACAAATAAAATAAAAAGAAGGAGGACCAGTGACATGCTGGGTACTGGGTGCCGAGGAAGGACGGTAAATTGGAACAGACAGACAGCCTTTTGCAGACCAGAACCCAAGACTCCAGAGATGCGCAGGCATGGCAAGACCAGTTAACATCCCAGGACCGAGAGAAGCTTCCAGTCTTGGGGGAGGGGGCTGCAGATGGTTTACCCCACTACGGCAGCTCTGGGATCCCCAGCCCTCTTTGTAAGGGAAGTTTGAATGGCAGGGGGTGTGGAGACAGGGGGCCACAAAGGGAGAAGGAACAGAAGGCGGTTGCTAGGAGACGGCTTGAAAAGTCTCAGCACAAGCTTGGAATTTGGTGGAAACCACTGATCTTGTGCCAGGGTTTTGAGAGGTAGGTCCTGGGCCTATTTCTGGCATCAGACCTTTGCCTGTGTGATCCGTAGTAGTGTGGCACAGCAGTGTGCCAGGGAGAAAGAGAGAGAGGCAGAGAAAGAGAGAGGAAAGGAAAGAGAGAGGGAGATGGCCAGGGGTCGATGGGGACAGACAGAGAGAGAGATAGAGAGAGAGAGATAGAGAGAGAGAGAGAGAGAAAGAAGGAGAGAGAAAAGGAGGGGGAGAGAGAAATTGAGACAATTTAGAGAGAATCCTAAACTAACAAAGGAACATATAAAAATTCCAGGAACCTTGCCATCCGCTTTATCACATGAAAAAAACAGTAAGGGAGAAGAGTAAAACAAGGATCAGTAAACTATAGCCCGTGGGCCAAATCCTGCCTGCTGCTTTGTTTTGGACAGTCTAAGCCATGAATGGTTTTTATATTTTAAAATGACTGAAAAAAAAAAATCAAAAGGGGACTACTTGGTGAAAAGGTGCAAATTATATAAAATGCAAATTTCAGTGTCCATAAATGACATTTCCGTGGAACACAGATACTGTCATTGGTTTAAATACTGCCTACGGCTGCTTTCACACTGCAACAGCAGAGGTGAGGGGATGCAACAGAATTCCTACAGCCCACAAGGCAAACAATATTTACCATCTGGCCCTTTCCAGAAATCATCTGCTGACCTCTGGAGTAAAAGATATTAAGGAAGGGCGCCTTCTGAGACTAAATATATAATTTGGGGCTCTAAGAGAATAATAATATGGAAGAGTTATTGAATGCTTCCTCTAGGTCAGGGTCTGTGTTAAGTGCTTATCATGCATAATTGTACTGAATTTTGCAAAATACATCATGACATAGTAGTTGTTTTCTAAATCTCTATTTCACAGACGAGGAGACGGAAGTTTACAGCTGTGATATTCAGCCTAGGCTCCACATTAGAATCACCCAGGGAGCTTTTAAAACTTACTAATGCTCAGTAAGGTCTTACTGATCAGAAACAGAATCCCAGAAGGAAGTTGGCTGAGCTAGACTCCAGATCCATATCTGTCTGAATTTAAAGCACAGGCACTTAAGACCAACTTATTCTTCCTTCCAAATGGCAAGATTCATAGGCTGTGGCCATTTCCTATGTGGGATTTACCGTATTTCCAGCCAGTATTGAGGAATGTTCCTTCTCTCTTTCCTAACAATAATTTCGACCACGTATTGAGGGTCTACTGTGTGCTTTGCACTCGATCTTCATCAGTGCCTTTCCCTTGAGTCTCTTTCAGTAACCTTATATAGTCAGTATTATTTCCTCAGTTTTCAGATGAGGCTCAGACAAGGTTAGAGCGACTTGCCCGGCAGTGACACGAAGTGTCGGCTTCTGTGGTGCTGGTCACATTCTGCTTCTTGATTTGATGCTAATTACAGAGTTTCGCTTTCCGAAAATTCACTGAGCTCTCTGCTTAGGTGAATTTTCTGTAAGAATTTTACACTACAATAAAAAGTTTCAAAAATACTTTGCCTAAGGTGACACAAAAACATGAAGAATCCAAGATTCAAACCCTAGTCTCTGTCATTGTTTCTTAAAGTGTATGATGAGATCTTTCTCATAATACAAGGAGTTAAATAGCACCGAATCACAAAGTGAGGAAGTTGTCCCCTTTTCAATTCTTGTTCAGACATTTTGATTACAACAAGGAGAAAGTCTCTGGCAATAGCATGTCTTCAGCGTTGCTGAAACACTTGCTAACCTTTTTTTTTTTTTTTTTTTTTTAATAACGGGAGAGAAGGCTCAGGCTTAGCAAGCAATATCTCTAACTAGACTTTAATAATATTGCTTTATTTTCATGACATTGTGTTTTCCACAGTTACCTTTTGAAGCAGACTTGGCTCTTGGTCTACCCAGTACCCACTTTTTCCCTTAGTAACAGAAATTTGATTTTTGTACCCAAATAACAGATCTCATTCTCCAATCTCCCTGCAGTTAGGCAGGCTAAGTGGCTAAGCTTGGCCAATGAGAAGCAAGCAGAAGTTGCTGTGTGGGACATTCAGGAATGCTTCTTAGTTAAAAGGTACACAGGCATGCTCTCTTTTATCTTTCCTATTTCCTGATGGTTACCTGGCCTGATGGCTGGTGATCCAGCAGCCATCTTGGGCTATAAAGCAGCCTGAGTGATGGAGGTCACATAGTAAAGACAGCAAAGCAGACAGAGGAAAGGAGCCTAGATTCCCAATAACACCGTGGGGTTGACAGAATTGGATAGCCTTGGATTGCTTCCTCCGTTGTTTTTTTCTTTGAGACAGAGTCTCACTCTGTCACCTAGGCTGGAGTGCGGTGGCGCAATCTCGGTTCACTGCAACCTTGTCCTCCTGGGTTCAAGCAATTGTCCCTGCCTCAGCCTCCTGAGTAGCTGAGACTAAATACATAATTTGGGGCTCTAAGAGAATAATAATATGGAAGAGTTATTGAATGCTTCCTCTAGGTCAGGGTCTGTGTTAAGTGCTTATCATGCATAATTTTGCTAACACGGTGAAACCCCGTCTCTACTAAAAATACAAAAAACTTAGCCGGCGAGGTGGCGGGCGCCTGTAGTCCCAGCTACTCGGGAGGCTGAGGCCGGAGAATGGCGTGAACCCGGGAGGCGGAGCTTTGCCAGTTGAGCTGAGATCCGGCCACTGCACCCCAGCTGGCGACAGAGCGAGACTCGTCTCAAAAAAAAAAAAAAAAAGAATAAGAGGCCAGGCGTGGTAGCTCATGCCTGTAAATCCAACACTTTGGAAGCCGAGGTGGGCGGATCATGAGGTCAGGAGTTCAAGACCAGCCTGACCAACATGTTGAAACCCCGTCTCTACTAAAAATACAAAATTAGCTGGGCGTGGTGGTGCACGCCTGTAATCCCAGCACTCAGTGAGCTGAGGCAGGAGAATCACTTGAACCCAGGAAGGGGAGGTTGCAGTGAGCTGAGATTGTGCACTGCACTCCAACCTGGGTGATAGAGCAAGATTCTGTCTCAAA